CAAACCTCCTCCTCCTGCCTCCCCTCCTCCTCAGTCTCCTCCTCCTCCTCCTCGCCTCCTCGCTTCCTCCTCCTCCTCCTCCTCCTCCTCCTCCTGCTCCTCCTCCTCCTCCTGCTCCTTGCCCCACCAACCCGAGCCTCTCCTCCCCATCCCCCTTCCTACACTTCCTCTTTCTCCCGCCATCCGCCTCCCCTCCTCCACTCCTCCCATCCTCTCCTCGTCGCCAATCTCATTGCTGCCAGTAGGCACCACAGGGCTCCTGGAAGAAGCCGTGGTCCCGAAGCATGGCGGCGCCGGACGGGAAGCCCAAACGCCTCCCCCCTACCCACCCACACACGCATTCCTCTCTATCTCTCTCCCTTTCTCTCTTTCTCTCTGGCTCTCCCTATCCCTTTGTTATGTTGTTTCTATCTCTCTCTATCTCTCTGTCTATCTCTCTCTCTCTCTCTCTCTCTCCCTCCCTCCATCTCTCCATCCATCGCTCCCTCTCTCTCGCTCTCTTTCTCTCTCTCTCTCTCTCGCTCTCTCTATCGCTCCCTCTCTGTCTCTCTCTCTATATATATACTATGTATGTATGTAAATACATATATATATATGTAAATGTTTATATACATGTATATATATATATATACATAAATGTATATGTTTACATGTATCCCTACCTCTCTCTATATATATGTATATATACATATATACTAGAACCATCACGCGCGCTTCGCGCACGCTCAAGGTTCTAGCTAGGCTGGATGGTCGAACTCTCAGGACTTCCCGGGCTTCTGGGAGCCCAGGGCTGGAAATGTTCGTTCGGCCCCCGCCTGGACCGCTGAGCTCTTGGGGGCCTCTTTCCGGCCTTCTGGATGCTGCTTGAGGCTGCTTGGGGGCCTCTTGGGGGCCTCCTGGGCTCTCTTGGGGGCCTCTTGGGGCCTCCTCGGAGCATCCTGGACTGCTTCTTGAAGTCGTCATGGGACCTTCTTGACATGTCTTCGGGGGCCTCGAGTTTTGAAGCCTTTTGGGTGCCGTTTTGGGTGGGCTTCTTGGGGACCTCTTGGGGTCTCTTGGGGGCCTCTTGGGGCTTCCTGGGGGCCTCTTGGGGCCTCTTGGGGGCATCTTGGGGCGGAGAGCTTGATTTTTCAGTTCGCCTTGGAGCGGTTTGGGGAGCCTCTTGGGCGGTGCTTTAGCGCCGGAAACACGAAACAGCGAGAATGCAACAAACATGAAAATCAACGATTTTGCCCTCTCGGTCTCGGGGCACTCTTACAGGCCTCTCGGGGCGTCTCGGGGGCCTCTGGGGCAGTTTAAAACGTATCGTGCGTCGCCAGAGACCCCTGGACGGCGTCTTTCGGGAGCGGCCACGACGGGGGTGTCCAAGAGGGGGGAGGTGCAAATCATGACCGGCGGCATGTGCGCGGCCCAGCGGGGGGGCCAGGGACGTAATGAAATAAGAAGAGGCGACGTAACATCTGGGGGAATATCATGGCCCCCGCCATGATATCTACCCCCCCTCTAGTCATCACCCCCCTCTTTGACGCCCCCGAGTCTTGGGGGTGTCTCGAGACCGTCTGGGGCCGCCGTGACTGCTGTCGGAGGGCTCCCCGGGGCGACCTGTAGGCCTCCCCGAGGCGGGCCAGCGCGCCGGGCCCCACACTTGCGGTCGGGGTCCCGGCCCTGGGGCCCCCGGACCCAGGTCCCCGTTATATGTACATCCCTTTCGCTTTTTCTTTTTCTCTCTCTCTCTCTCTCTTTCTCTCTTTCTCTCTCCTCTCTCTCTCTCTCTCTCTCTCCCCCTCTCTCTCTCCCTCTGGCCAAGGGAAGAAGGGCAAAAGGCAGGAAAGACGAGGAGGAGCAGGAAGTCCTCCTTCCGCTCCTCCTTCTCCTCCTCCTCCTCCTCCTCCTCCTCCTCCTCCTCCTCCTCCTCACTCTCCTCCTCCTCCTCCTCCTCCACCTCCTCCTGCTCCTCCTCCTCCTCCTCCTCCTCCTCGTCCTCCTCCTCCTCCTCCTCGTCCTCGACCTCTTCCCCCGTCCACACATACCCCCCCCCCTTGATTTAGAGCCCAGACAGGGCGACGCACCCAGCCCAGGCGAACACAGCCAAAGCTGCAGCTGACCACGATGACGAGGCTCGTGCGGAGGAGAAAAACACTGGGGAGAATGGGGAGAAGAGGCGGGAGAGGCCGAAGAAGCAGGGGACGAAGAGGAAGAGGAAGAGCAAATAGTATAGGAGGGTTCGGCGGCAGGGGCCCGAGGAGGGAGGCGCTCCTCGCGGCCCCACTGCCCCTATCATCCACCTCGCCCCCTCCCTCTCCTCCCTCCGGTGCCCCGGGGTCCCGTACCACCCTGTGCTCGATTGCGCTTGCTATCCTTTATCCTGCCGCTCTCGCATCGGTTTATCCCGACTCGGCACGTCGCTTCACGGGCTCGCAACCCCTCTCCTCCCTCCCCTTTCCGCATTGCCCGTCGCTCCAATCCCGACGCCCGACGTCCTCTTCCCCGGATGTGGCTCTTCGTCCCGGAACCATATTTGATTGCCTCAGGGCCCGATGACGCGACCCAGAGGCCGAAATCGGCACAACGACGCCAGGATTGCAAAGGCCATGTCGTCAGAGACCTGGGCTTGCCCTGCCTCCCCTCTCATCTCCGTCCTCCTCCTCCTCCTCCGACGGCGCGACGGGGACGGCGACATCCCCTCGGGCGTTTGACGCAGGCCCCCCCCCGGCCCCCACAGGCCATTTTGAAGGAGTCCCACCCGGGTCCCGCCTGGAGTCCCTTCGGGGGCGACAGGGGGCCACTCGCTGTCACAGGACGAGCATCCGTTGAGATCCGGGCGTCGCAATTTTTTCGCGACGGGCGCTTTCGCTCGGTTGCGGGGCCCGGGGCCCTCAGGGATCCATCCGGCTCGAGGAATGCCGCAGAGAGATCGGGTCGAGGGTCCTAGTCGTGATGTCTCGCGATGTTGAATCTGTTTAGTGATGCAGGCATCGCAGAGGACGCCGCCGAAACGTCGACGGGCGGCAGCGGCGATGTGGCCGCTGGCGGCCGCCACGGTGAGCGTTTTGGGCGAAGATCGTTGGCTCCCCAACCAAGAGGCGCGGGCCAGACGACGACGGCACGGAAGCGGCGCCCGGGAGGTCGGACGGAGGCGCTGCGCGTGCATCCCCGCGCGGCCCCAGCGCCCACCTTACGGCGGCGGCGGCGGCGGCGACGGCGACGACACCGACGACCTTGGGGCATGGCAGCGAATCCTCCCCACGCCCCCGTCGCACGAGGGGGCACGCGCGGGAGCGCGCGTAGGAGGAGGACGAGGGTGAAGGAGTAGGAGGATGGAAGATGGTGTAGGAGAGAGCAGCTCCTTACCATGGGGCAGCTGCGGAGATGCCACGCTGACCCTTTCGCACAGTCAAGCGGCACCAATCGCACGGTTAGGCGATATCAATCACACGGTCTGTAGCTACCCTTGCAGTAGGGGGACGACGTGGGAGGAGGAGGACGAAGAGAAAAGGGAGGAGGGGAAGAAAAAACCGTCACCCTTGCCCCCGACGGTGGCGACGACGACGACCTTCGGCGACGACGATTGACCACCACGATGACTGCCGAATGGCCACGACGACGAAGAATGATGACGGCCACCTTCGACGCCCCCCTTTCGATATGAGGTCCCGATATCGCGTGGTGAGAGACCGCGCGGTGACCTCGAACCCCACTGACTCACCACACGGCGCGGTCAGCGCACCGTTTGAGGGCTCCCGATTCGAAGGAGGAGACGGAGGAGGAGGAGGCTGACGCGGGGGAGGCGCGAGGAGAAGAGGAAGGTGAGCGCGGAGCATGGGTCGGCCTGCTCTCGAAGGGTCAGCCCCAGGAACAGCTGTCATACCCCAGCGGCCACGGCGAACGAGGGCCAACAAGGGCGGCCCGAACGCGACCTGGGCGACCCCCAGCCGCGCCCGCGCGACCGTGAGGAGACCACGATGACGAACGACGACGACACCCTTCGACGCCCCCCGCTCCCCCTCCACAGGAGAGCCCGCGAGGCTCCACCCGCATCAGGGCACAGCGGCTGCCTGGGAGAGGGCCGAGCCAGCCGAGAAAGTACATTAGGGGGCCACATGCGAACCCTACCCCCCCACCCCACACACACACACACACACACACACACACACACACACACACACACACACACACACGATTTCTCAGGGGGAGGGTGGGGTTCACGTCGCTCGGGAGCTCCCGAACCAAGTGAACCCAACCCTCCTCCTCAGAAATCGTGGGGGGGGGCAGGGGTAGGGTTCGCACGTGGCTCCCTGTACGTGGCGCCCACGTGCCAGGCCGCAGCGAAAGACTGGCACCGTGGGACCTCCAAGGCCAAAACCTCGGAGGTCAGTCCCTGGACGTCGACAGACGTCCAGGGGCACTCCAGGATCGTCACAAGGAGATCCCATGGGTGCATGCTCCTGTGGAGGCATCAGGAATCTCTCTCTCTCTCTCTCACGGCCCACTCAAGCAGTTCTACCTGCGCAACAGGTCGTTATCCTACGATCTGCTCTGGGTGGGGGTCGATGCCTTCGACATGCGACCACCTCTCTTCTCAAGTCCTGCTGCGATCCAGCAGGGCTGTTGCGCTGCCTGCAGCAAATCTGCGTCACCTTCGGGACTGACCTATGCGGTGGCAAACCGAGGGCAGCACCAGAAGGCCAGACCAAGACTGAGCCAGGGACCCCGACTGCGCGCGACCAGTTCGCGGGGCCTGCAAGCAGGGCACCAGAGGCAAGCCTCACGATGCCCAGACACGGCAGAAAGAACAAGAGGGCAGAGGCGCGGCCTGTACTGTGCCCTCCGCGCCACAACCTGAACCCCACGGGGATGCGCGGCCAGTCCAGCAGTCAGCAAGCTCAGCAATACAACGCGTGGTCACAACAGCACGGTTGCGCGAGCCCCCGTGACAAGCGGGTCACGGAGGAAGATCCGGCAGCGAGCAGAGCAAGGCCTCTGGGAAGATCTCCCAGCGTCCCGAACGGACTGCTGCTAACATATCGCGGAATGCGCGCAGGGCAACACAGGCCAGAATCACCGATGCCGGTGATACGAATCGGACTCCGACCCGTCGTCTTCACCACCCGCCCCCGACCGCCACCAGACGGGAGAGAGGACGCCGACTCCTCCCTCTGCGGAGGGTGGCCGCCACCGCAGGGCGCTGAGCAACACCGGCTGTAGCAAACGCGCGGCCTCCTCCACCCGCCCCTCCAGGGGGCCACAAGCGAACCCTGCCCCTACCTCCCACGATTTCTGGGGGGGAGGGGGGGGGGGTCATTTCGTTTGGGAGCTCCCGAGCGAAGTGAACCCCACCCTCCCCTCAGAACTCGTGGGGGGGTTAGGGGGTAGGGTTCGCGTGTGGCCCCATACCCTCGTCGTCCGAGGGCGGCAGGCCAGAGGCACGGAGTCTGGCAGCATGCACGGAAGGCTCGGAGATTCCTGCCCCGAGGATGCCGTCTGAGCCAAGTCGCACAGAAGGCTTCCTCGGGTCGGACTGCCGACCTCTGAGGATATGATTCCGTTTAGTCTTTCGGCGGGCTGCCATCCTGCAGTGAACGTTGCACGGGTTGCTCTTGAGAAGGGAACCTGCCGAAACAAAAAGACGCGCCGTGAACACTAACAAAGAGAGAGCTGGCGTCGGAACCAACGAACACTACTGCGCTGCGTCCGAACCCGCGACTTTAGCCAGATCGAGGTCCTTGCCCCCCCCCCCGCTACAATTACGAGTCGGGGCGCAGCCTGGCTATGCCATGCTGCGGCTCATCTTGCAACAAACTGTGCGACTCTGGCCCCGAGCTATCCGTTGGAACAGGCAGGAAAGCTTGGCCCCAGGGGCGGCATACTATTGGGGTAAGTTTGGGTTATAGGTGACCTCTCCGTGCTTTGAAAGACGGACATATACAAAGGGAAATTAGGACACACAAATAAATACACACAAATAAAATTAGTCCCCATATTTTCCCATCTTTTCTGGGTTTTTGTCTTCTCCCCCAGTTCCCATAGTGTCCCATATTTTCCTGGGAATCGAGGATTAATTGTGTCTGTGTGTTTTTTTCCCTCCTGAATCGTGGCCAAACACGCAAAATGGATTCACGAAACTGATGTGCTCTTGAACTGCATCTTGCAGTTCGGGGTCGGCAGGCGGGCGCAAAGAGCCGCTGCAGCTTTGCCATCACGTCCGCCAAGTGATCACCTGCTCGCATACCATAGTCGTCCTCGTTCAAGCATTGGTATTTGAAGGGGCCCCAGGACACACAAATGAATACACACAAATAAAACTATTCCCCATATTTTACTATATTTTCTGGGTTTCTGTCTTCCCCACCACTTCCCATATTTTTGCATATTTTCCTGGGGATCGACGATTAATTGTGTCTGTGTGTTTCTTCCCCTCCTGAATATTGCAAGGACAGGTGGGCTTTGATATTGGTGAGGGTTGTTAAACGCGTCCAATGATCATCGTTCTGAGCCTGGACGATATGACACCCTTAAGGAGAACGAGAAAGAGAAGCGAAGGGGGAGAGAGGGTGGAGTAAGAAGAAAGAGGAGGAGAAGGAAGAGGGAGAAGAAGGAGGACGAGGAGGAGGATCATGTTGAATATTTCTGGCAAGACCCGAAGCCCGCAGCATGCATTCTGACATGAAGCACCGCCAACTGGCCTGGGAGCAGACGCCCCTAAACCACATGGCCATGCAACGCCGAAGCAGGGTGCACCCCACGGGCGACGGGATTATCACTCTCGCGCCCCAGCACGTCCACACGCCGCCCCAACGGCAGCCTGTACAGAGGCCTCTGGAAGAACCTCTGCTGGAGAGCATCCCGACGCTGGAAACCGCCGAGATCCGACAAAATCACCAGACAAAAAAAAAATGTCCCGATACTCCTCTCCCTTCTCCTCCTCCCCCTCCATCCTCGCCCTCCTCCTCGCCCTCGGGGGAAGCGCCCACCCCCCCGCCCCCGCCGGGCGCGCTCGGGCCGCAGCGCCTCGCGGCAGAAGGACACCGCGGCGGGCGAGCAGCCCGGTACGTCCTCTCGCGCGGCAGCGGGCGGCGAACGAACGAACGAACGAGCGAGCGAGCGAACGAACGAACTGTCGCTCGTTCGCGCATCCCCTCCCTCCCCGCACTCGTCCCTCCCCTCCAAAAAAGCCCGGGGTCACCCGAGTAAGTTCCCACCCCCGTCACCAAGGGGGGGCGCAGGCGTTAAGGGTTATGGTTCCAGGTTCCTGGCCACGCAGAACGCCACGTACTGGACGCAGCCTCTTCGAGGACTGGCCCCGTGGCATCCCGCCTCTGAGTGCACTTCCGATTGTCAACTGAAGTACGCAAGGAGAGAAGTGCAAGCAGGGGAGGCCGGGCAGGGGCGGCAGGGGAACAGCTGGAGCGGGGAGAGGGGGCGTCGGGCGGAGGGGCGGTCGTGGTGATCGTCCGGGTGGTCGTGGGGATCGGCGCGGCGGTGGTAGCCGTACAAGTCACTGGTCGGAAGGGTGGTGGTCGCCGGCGCCGTGGTAGTTATGGTGTTAGGAGGCAACTACTGGGAGGTTTTCGTCGGAGAAATTAAAGAAGATTAAGTCCCATTTGGGGACTGTTACGCCGGAATGGGCCTCAGACTAAGCAGGATTAAGCCGGATTAACCGGGATTGAGCGGGATTAAGCCGGATTAAGCGGGATTAAGCCGGATTAAGCCGGTTTTCGGACCAGGGCAAAGTCAGAATTTAACCTCCCAGGAGTTGCATCCGAAATGGTGGTTGTCGTGGTATTGTCATGCTGGTGACGGTCGTGGTCGTCGCGCGGTCGGTGGTTGTGGCGGTCGTCGTGGCAGTCTTCGTCATGGACGCGGTCCTCGTTGTCGCGGTGGCCGCCGGGCTGGTGGCGGTCGTCGTCGGGGCGCGAGTGGCGGCGGCAGTGGCTGTCGTGTTGGTGGCTGCTGTTGTGAGTTGTTACATTCCAAGGGCGCTGAGAATGTACGTGAAGTGTTCCGCCAAATCCGGCTCAGGAACTCGGACCGCTCGGCGTCCTCCAGCGAGGCGCCGTAGCTCCGCACGAAGCCCACTGCCTCGTCGGATGGCCGCCCCCCGGTTTCAAAACCCATCGGGACCAGGTCGAGGCCGTCCTGGGGGGGGGGGAACAGTCACGCTTCTCGTCGACCGTTTGTGCGACTGCCAGACTGTCTCGTCTGGATCGGGCGTGCCTGCGTAGGCCGTAGGTGGAATGTAGTACGCAGGTCACCGCCCAATCGATGAAGATAGGTCGGCCAGTGCTGGGGTCGTGCCGCCTGAATATCCAACTTTGCTTTTTGGGATAATTACCCCTGTGCGGGGATGCCGCCAGTCCCAACCTGGCACTCGTTGTGCCGTTGGCGCCACGTGGCCTGAGATATACTTGTGCATAGCCGCGTGACGGTCACGGAGGCGGTCGTGCAGAGCGGTGCGAGAGCCGCCACACTCGCACGCATGGCATGGATACCGTGGGGGTCGATGGTGTTCTCCGCACCGCGTCCCGTCTTGTCGTCGGCGCGCCGGCACTCCAAGACGGCACATGAGCTTCACCTCGAAGTGGTCATCTGGTTGCACGGGCTCTCTCCGGGCTGCCGCGGTTGGAGAAGCGCCCCTGCACCGGCTCCGCCGCACTCCCGGAGCGCCAGCCGGGCGCCAGCCGGTCGGCTTCTGGGAGCTCCCGCAGCAGTCGTTCTCTGTTTTCCCAGAGGCTGTCTTACTCCACACGTCCTGGAGCTTAGCGCGGGGTTCCAGAAGGCTGCTGGCCCAGTCTATGGACTGTCTAGCGGTCGCTCCCGAGGCTTGCAAAGCCTTCGGCTTGGGCGAGTGCCCGGAGGGTCCGCGGGCAGCGCGACCCGAACCTGGGGTCCTCTTGGGCCGTCATGGGGCCCTCTTTGCCGCAAGGTGGGCACCTGGGGGCCGTCGTGGGGCCGTTTTGTCGCTGTATTGGGCCGTCCAGGGGCCTTCTACGGCCGTCTTGGGTTCCACAGGAGGCCCTCTTGGGCCGTCTTGGGGCCGTTTTGGGATGCCTCGCGGGCCATCGATGAGTCCTCGTGGGCCGTTTTGAGCTGACGGCAGTCCGAAAAGGCAACCGCCAGCGTGCCAACGTCCGGACACTTTGCCACGTCGTGGAGACAGAGCGCCCAGCTCGCGGCGTAGGCTGCCAGCGCCGTCCGGGCGGCGGATGGGGTGGAGCACCCTCCGTCCGTGAGGCGCATGATGGCTTGCAGACTCTCGAGGTCGTCCAGGTGGCCCCCGCGGAGCAGGTGTTCTAGTGCCGAGGGCACCGCCGCGTCGAGCTGCTCCACACAGCTCCTCCCTTTTTCTTCCCCCTCCTCCCCTCCCTCCTCCCTCCCCCCTTTATCCCTCCCCCCGAGCGCATCATCACCATTCTATCACCATCAGCATTATCATCATCAGCAGCAGCATCATAATCAGCAGCAGCATCGCCGATAGCATCAGCATCAGCATCATCATCATCACCATCATCATCATCATAATCAGCATCATCATCATCATCATCATCATCATCATCATCATCATCATCATCATCATCATCATCATCATCATCATAATCAGCATCACCATCATCATCATCATCATCAGCATCATCATCATCATCATCATAATCATCATCAGCAGCATCATCATCAGCATCATCATCAGCATCATCATCATGTTCACCATCATCATCATCATCAGCAGCAGCAGCATCATTATCATCAGCATCATCATCATCAGCAGCAGCATCATCATCATCAGCATCATCATCATCATCGTCAACAGCATCAGCATCAGCATGAGCATCAGCACCAGCAGCATCATCATCAGCATCAGCATCATCAGCACCATCATTATCAACATCATCATCGCCATCACCACCATCAGCAGCAGCATCGCCAGCATCAGCATCATCATCTTCATCATCACCATCGCCATCATATAACATCATCATCGTCTTCATCATCACCACCATCATAACCATCGTCACCAACATCACTGATCATCATCATCAGCATCATCATCAGCATCGTCACAGTCACCGTCATCATCATCATCATCATCACCACCATCATCATCAGCAACATCATCATCGTAATCATCTTCGTCCTCATCATCAGCACCATCATTGTAACCACAACCAACAGCAGCATCAGCAGCAGCATCAGCAGCAGCATCTGCAGCAGCATCATCACCAGCGGCAGTGTCATCAGCATCATAATCAGCAGCAGCATCATCAACAGCAGCATAATCACCACCATCATCAACATCAGCATCATCAGCATCATCAGCATCAGCATCACGATCACCAGCATCATCAGCATCGTCATCACCATCATCAACATCAGCATCGTAATCAGCTGAATCATCATAAGAATCATCACAATCATCATCACCACCACCATCATCGGCAGCATCATCACCAGCATCACCATCATAGACACCATCATCAGAATCATCGTCATCAGTATCATCAACAGTATCATGTTCATCATCGTCATCACCATCATGATCGTTCTATTCCTACCCACCATGATCAGCACAAACATCAGCACCATCATCATCGTCATAAGCAGCTTCGTCATCAGCATTCGAATCATCATCACAATAATCGTAAGCATTGTCATCATCATCATCATCATCATCAGCAGCAGCAGCATCATCATCATCACCGTCATCAAGATAACCCTCGTCAACCTCACCACCATCAACATAACAAGCATCGTCATCATCATCATAACCAGCATCATCATCGTCATCATCAGCATCATCAACATCAACGTCATCATCATCATCAGCAGTATCATCAATCGCATCATCATCCGCATCCCCATCCTCATCCTATCCTCATCCTCATCCCTCCTCTCACCTACCCCTTGCTCTCTCCTTCCCTCCCAATCCCTCTCCCCACTCCCACCCTCCCGAGCGAAGTGAACCCCACCCTCCCCCTCAAAAAATCGTGTGGGGGTAGGGGTGGGGTTCGCATGTGGCCCCCTAGACGAGGCCGGAGGAGGAGGAGGAGGAGGAGGAGGAGGAGAAGGAGGAGGAGGAGGAGGATGAGGAGGAGGAGGGTTCGCATGTGGCCCCCTAGACGAGGCCCGGTCGCCCGACGCCGCGCCCATCGCGCCGCCGCGATACGCGCCACGGACGGAGCGAGCGTCGCTGCGCGCCCTCGCGCCGCCGCCCCCGGGAGAAGTGCGCCTCGCCGGCCCACAGGGCCCGGGAGCCGCGAGGGCCCAGGAGACGAAGAAGGAAGGGGGAGGAGGAGGAGGAGCAGGAGGAGGAGGAGGAGGAGGAGGAGGAGGAGGAAGAGGAGGAGAAGGAGGAGGAGGAGGAGGTTAGAATTAGGCTGGGCATGTCCCCCTACAGACGGATGTTGGACGAAAGATAAAACATATTCCGGAGGCTAGAATTACAGTGTAATTTTTCATACATAGGATTGTTTTAACATCGGAGTTTTAATACGTGATGAATGTATGAATGAATTTGTGCGTGAATTCATCCTTGTGTTTAATACTACATCCCTGCATTTCTAATGCATGATCCGCACGCGGAGCCTGTATCAAAAACGGCACTGTAGGTTGGGCATGTCCCCCTACAGACGGATTCTGGACGAAACATAAAAAATAAGCCGAACATGCCAGAAGCGCGCTCAACAGTAGTCAAGAGATCGTCCCCTGACGATGTTGCTATCATTTTTGAACATCCCCCCTGCAGAGGGACGTGCCCGACTTGAGGCAAGAAGGGCGGAGGCCCAGCGCGGCAGAGGAGGCCAGGAATGCCGCGGAGGTCGGGGCGGCAGCGGAGCCCGTGCCGGGCGCCCATCAGGCCCAGGCCGCGACGCGCGCAGCGGCCGTCCTGATCTTTCCGAGGCACCGGATGTCCGTGAGGGGCCACGACGAGGGGGGGGCCTGGCACTCGCCGTCGCTCGGACGTCCATTTCCCGTGCACTGTTCGGTTTCGTGCGTGTTTTGTTTTGCTCGATGGTCCAGGATGGTCCTCGATGGTTCTCGCCGAGAAAAAATGCACACGTCCTAGCGATGCCAAGGGGCATAGTGGGGGGGCACATCGGCCTGGAGTCGGCGATGCATCGCCGATAGATCGGCGCTAGGCCCCCGACAGCGACGCCGCACGTTCTGGGCAGGCTGGCGCCATCGGGCCCTCATCGGCGATCGGTTGGCGATCAGGGGTCGATACATCCCCCCCTACCCAGAGATCCGATGCCGTGATTTTCTCCATGCGCGGTCCCCGGAAGTTTTGACCCATTCCCCAGGACCAGTTCTGCATCCTGAGTAGTTTTCTGACGGTCCCGAGGCCCGGCGAGGATCCCTGGGGGCCGAAATCTGCGAAAAGCGTCCGTCCTGATTTCTTCAATATGCTGGATCTCTGGGTAAGCCGATCCCCCTCTTCCTGGCCTGCCCAGAGTTAAGTCGGGCGTGTTCACCTACAGGAGGTTTTTGAACGAAAAAAAAAAATCCAA